CCCCAAAACCCCAAAACCCCAAAACCCCAAAACCCCAATAGCACAAATTTTCTAGTTAGATGTAATCAAGTAATATTAAAAATGATGCTAGATAGTCGAAATATTATAAATTATAGAGAGATAAATTAGCAAATGGAAGAGCTTAAAACAGATTACTCGGATAATAGGCTATTGAGGCCGCCAGTAAATAACAATTAAGGTGGCAGACACTAAGGTGTAACAAGTGAAGATTTACTAGATGACAGATATGAGCACTAAGGATCAGCAGAATATGTAGCATAATGTGGTTTAATTGAGTTTAGGATGTTACAAAATAGCGATATATAAGAGTGATCGTCATAGTAGTCATATTAGGTTTTCTCACTATAGTGACCTTAACCTAATCATTTATCTTGTCAGAGAATATTGGATGTATAGAGGATAAGGTCTTCAAGCTTACATCTTCCTTGAATGAATACTTCAGTGATAATTAACCAGCAAAGCATGTATTTATGATCTTTTGTGGTCTGTTAATGGACATCATGGTACTGGCTTAATTTTACAGATTTGCTATGTATGGTACTACTTGGCGCTTTCCTATCGCTCTTCTAATGTTCTACATTTTAAGAGCTTTGATGCAAGTAAGCATTAATTAGTTTATATGTGTAGTAAATATTCTATATGAGATATCCTGATGGCTATTTGTGGGACTTCCCCGGTTTTTATTCGATTACTGTCCCCTACGGGAAAACTAATGATTTCTTTTTCTCTGGTCACATAGGCTGTTGCATGATCTGTTTCTGTGAATTCAAAGCTCATGGCTGGAATAAATTCGCCTATTTTAGCATCTATACTATGTTCTGTTAGTTCTCTCTTATGATATGCCTAAGAGGGCACTATATGATTGATCTAGTATCAGGAATAGTGTTTGCTCATTATTTCTGGCTTCTTTCAGAGAGGTACTCTTATCTCGTTGATGTGAAGCTATTCAAAATTCCTTTCCATAAAAGATTCCCAATGTTCACTAGATCATGCCCTAAATGCCAACATCCAATGGAGCTATGGTCTGATCCACACTCTAATGAGAACTATACAGAGATAGAGAGGCATCACCTGCTTATAAATAGTCCATAAAAAAATCAAAAAAATGTTCCCTAGTATCAAATAAACGAAAACTGACTAATAGTTATTAGATTTAAATATGAATACTATTGCAATTATCTTCTAAATAACTATTAGTATTATTGTTATAATTTAAAAGTAATATATCTTATTTTAATAGCTCCATTATTTTAAAATTAAACTGTAATAAAAATATGAGCCTCAAAAAAATAATATTTACCTCAGTCACCCTGCCTTTAGCTTATTAAACTTTTTGGGCTTATAATTGGCAGAAGGGAAGGAAAATTGAGAAAATTCAATAGATAAAGGAAAGGGAGTAGAAGTTAGTTTAGCCTCTTGTAGATTTTAAACTCAGTGATCTTCCTAATGAAGTTATTTAATCAAAAACTGAATTCGAGAAGATTTGGCTATATAGGCCTGTCAGAATTAAGGGCATTATAGATAATGAGAAAGAAATATACATTTAAAGGCCATAGAGTGGTGAAAAAGGCGTCGAGGTGGTAGCTCCTTTGTATGAATCAGTCAATGATAAAGGAGAACTTTAGGGAATTATGGTTGATCGAGGTTGGATTAAGGAATAACTAAAGGATCTTAAGATTCATTGGAATTCTACTGAAAATTCAGAATAAATAATTGAAGGAGTTATAATGAGAGGAGAGGGGAAGTGTTAAACTGGAAAGGAAGATGATGAAAAGAATAAGATAAGAATTGACCTTGAGGAATTTGTGAAAAACACTGAGTTTGGTAATAAAGATGTAGCAAAGCAGATTATGATAAGAGAGGTAAACTTTAATGAGAACACCACTGAACAGAGAACATCTCTTAAAAGATAGACTCCTGCAGATTTATGCTATTGGTATGTAACACCTGAAAGACATTAAGCTTATAGTACATTCTGGCTATATGCCACAGGGTTGAATTTATTTGCAAATGCAGTTATTTGGGCTTATTTATGAAATTAAGACTTATTAAAGTAATATAATTCAATTCATTAAATCTCTTGAGTTAGCATTTCCTTGCCAGTTTCTTCATTTGCATCATGATATCTTATAGAATTCAATTTCTACTATTGTGATTTCTCATACTTTTCTTTCAATTTCAAAGTATGTATTTAGTATGAAGAATGCACTCTCATATACATCTTCTGAATTGTGTAGTTGCAAGCTTTCTACAAGGTCAATCCCTCCATATTATTCAAACAGCCTAACAATATCATTGTCTAATGATTTAGTGTGATTTTTAGTTTTTTTAAAGATTCTTGACAGTGAAATCAAGGTAAGTTGAATTATCTGTCCTTAAACATCTTATAATCTGAGACAATTTACCAGGAATTTCATTAAATCTTATTCAATAGCGAGGAGAAGCTGTCTATATTTAATTCTTCTTAAGTAGAATGCAACCATGTAGATAAGCTCAAATTTGGTAGCATAGTCACTATTATTATAAATCAATGTCAATTCTTTTATGAATTTCATCTCGATTAAGATCAGGAATACATCAATTTATCTTTATTTTAGATTTTGTAGTATCCAGAATAACTTAGTTTTTACTTGGATCTCTGAAGGGGAATAATCATGCCTTAATAACCTTTCAACAATAACTTCAATAATATTGCTTTTTATAAATTTCACAGCTACTTAGTCTGAGATCATGCATAAGTTACCGACGATGTCTGATACATACAACATAATAGAGGAAACAGAGGTTTGCATCATTGCCACTAGTTCAAGATGAAAGTTAGATTTTTAGATTTGTATTTCAACATATTCATGGTATTGACTCTAGATTATAGCTATAAAGTCAAGCATGTTAATAATAACCTCAATTTATTCTTAACATTTTCCTTGATCTTGTTCAACAGCATTAAAATTCAAATGTTTGAGTTTGTAGCAAAATGAAGTAAGGATCATTTGTATCTTGGGGAAAGGAGGCAGTTGCTTTGCTCTAACTAAATTACAAAGTAAGAATACAGCTTCTCTGTGAGTGATAAAGCTTCTTTGACTTTAGCCTAAAATGGCCACAGCTAATGGTACAACTCCAAGGTCTATTGCATAGTCTCTGGTTTAACTATTTCCCAGTATAATATTGGATAATGCCCATTGAGTTTGCATGAGGAGCTCATCTGAATTGTCTAGAAATATGTGTGAAATGCTAGATAAGTTACTTTAGTTGGAAAGAACATGGATGAGAGCATTTATTACACCATGATTAAATAAACTCATGACCTAGTCATAGGTGCCTGAAGAAAGATTTGTGAAAATCCAAGTAATATCAATCTTAGTTTACTAGCTTATGAATGTTTAACTGAGGATAGTTAAAAGCTCCTTAATTATCAAGCAATCAATAATCTGATAGATTGGGGGATCCTTTGTCATTAGCACTTTTCTTAGTTTAGTTACTCCATTACATTTTGTATCAAGAATTTGAGATCTAATTTCTACACAAATACTTTCTAAGTTGAGTTTCAACTTGCGGTTTCTAGCCAACATTATTTCAACAGAATCAGACTAAACTGATTGAGGAACTAAGGGATCTGCAATATTATTGGTATTTCTCTATCTCTGCAATCTACTTTTTGATACTCTGCTTGCACTAAAATAATTATGCTTTAATCAGTAATATCATTACACATTGGAATTTCTGAGCATTTATTGGTAGAGTTTTTACTTATACAAAAAGTAACTTTTGCCTTGCTTCCTCTGCAAGAGTTGACGGCAATTACTTTCTTGAGTTTGGCTTGAGATTTTCTTTTTTCCAATAACAAACTTTTGAGAATTATTATCTAACTGACTCTCCTTCATTTTCTATGTTTGGATATGCTATTGAGAATAATGTGACTCAGAGGAACTAGAGCTTGTATCCTCGTCTATCATCTCATTTATATTTTAAAGTTGATACCCTGAATTCTACATAAATTAATTAAAACTAATATTCTCATTAAGATTTAACTAAAATATATCTTCATAAGTAATGTTGGTGTTGAGGGGTTTTGGGGTTTTGGGGTTTTGGGG